GAGGCCGAGTTCAGCCCACCGTCACAGCCCACTTTGGACAGACTTCGGGACCGTTCAAGAGAAAGAGGCTACGATAGAGAACGGGACAGGGACAAGGAGTGGGATAGGGACAGGTATCGCAGAGACTTTCGGGAGGACGATTCGCGGCGATTCGGAAGGCGGAATTCTCTTACAGACGATTCGGACGGGCGCTACTACCGCCCGCAGTACAATGACCGCCGGAGAGGTGATGATCGTGAATGGACGCGCAGGGACCCAGCGCCGTATCGTGGCCGCGGTGATGATCGGTATGACCGTCGAAGTTATGACTCGCGGCCGCTTTCACGCCCTCATTCGCCTCCCACGTCAGGTCTCATTTCTCCTCCGTCGGCGCCACCCACACAACCCGAAATCCACCGTCCAGTTTCACCACCTCCCAAACTACCCCCACCCCCACCTGAATCAAAGGCACCTTCCCCGCCTCACGGCCTACCGCCGCCTCCTGAAGATGACGGTCCTCGACCACCTTCGTCTACTCCTCCACCCGCCCCTCCGCCAGATGAACGTCTACTGAAAGGCGTGCAACTACCGCCTATTCATGCGTCCGTGAAGATCACTATGAAACGGCCTGACGCGCCAAGGAACGCTCATTCTCCGCTGCCTTTGGATATTCCACCAAATACTGCACGAGGAATGGCTCAAGGACCTGAGAGGGCGGTCGAAAAATCAGCGCCACCGCCGCCCCAGCATAGATCATCACTTTCTCTTCCCCCTCCTCCACATCCGCCAAAGGAACAGAAGAAAGAAAGGGAGTCATCCAGGATACAGGTCATGCGTAGGAAACTCCCCATGAGGAGATCCGAGAAGGAGGAGGTTCAAGTGTACGGACATGGGTTCATGGGCTGTGGACAACAGTCGGACTACGAGGCTACCACCAAACTGGGTGAAGGTACTTTCGGGTGCGTCGACACGTTTTGGGAGTCAATACCCACTTTTTTGACTGCCATTTTCTAGTGAGGTGCACAAAGCTATCCATAAGAAGACAGGTAGAGCCGTCGCTCTGAAGCGAATCCTCATGCACAACGAGAAGGAAGGCATGCCAGTCACGGCGCTCCGCGAAATCAAGATTCTCAAAGCTCTGAAGCATCCGTGTATTGTCGACATCCTGGACATGTTCGTTGTGCGGAGTATGTAGGAATTTTTCTCGGCTTCTCACTCTTCTGACGCTGTTCGGTCGTGGAGGTACCGACAAAGATCCACTCTCTGTGTATATGGTGTTTCCATACATGGACCACGATCTGGCGGGGCTGCTGGAGAATGAGCGAGTGAAACTTCAGCCAAGTCACATCAAGCTCTATATGAAGCAGCTGCTGGAAGGAACGGAGTACATGCATCGCGTAACTGTCCTTACTCCTCGCTCTACCACTAGTCAGCTAACGCCAACGTCACTAGAACCATATTCTCCATCGTGACATGAAGGCAGCGAATCTTCTTATTTCCAACAACGGTTCTTTGCGGATAGCGGATTTTGGTTTGGCCAGATCCTTTGATACGAATGTGGCAAATGCACGGAGCGACGGGATTCGAACTGGCCGCGACCGGAAGTACACGAACTGTGTCGTGACGAGATGGTATCGACCTCCTGAACTCCTGCTTGGGGCGAGGCACTACGGGGGTGAAGTGGATATTTGGGGCATTGGGTTTGCACCCCCTTAGATTCTCGCATTCGATTGCTAAGAACCCCATTTGTTAGATGTGTCTTGGGTGAAATGTTCACTCGAAAGCCCATCTTGCCGGGCACCTCTGACCTTGACCAGCTTGAGAAGATCTGGTTCCTCTGTGGTTCACCTAATCAACACAACTGGCCTTATCATGATCAATTGCCAGGATGTGAAGGCGTCATCAGGTTCAAATCGCACCCTCGCAGACTGAAGGAAACGTACGACAGCGTTGGGCCTGAGACAGTTGATTTGCTAGACAAGTTGTTGATTATCAACCCCAAGGAGCGCATTACTGCTGCCCAAGCTCTCGAGCACGACTACTTCTGGACGGACCCGTTACCTGCCGATCCTAAGTCGTACGCATCTCAACTTCAAAACCCTTTCTTTGGTTCCGAACTGATTCCGCTTCTAGCTTGCCCTCCTACGAGGCTTCTCATGAGTTTGACAAGCGTGGACATCGCAACCACCACCCCATGCCCATGCCTGCTGGTCCTCCGCTGCAAGTTCAACCGCCACCCCATGCACACAACAACCAAATGCGTGGCGGGCCTCCTCAGGGCAACCCTCAATTTAACCGCGGGCCTGGTGGTCCGCCTAGCCAGACCCAGAATCAACGTCATCAACATGGCAACGGTCCTGACATGCATCGTCGCAGTGGGCCTCCAGGAGGGCAGCCAGGTAATTACCCTGCTCCAAACCACCCTGGATCACATAACATGGGCATGAATGGACCGGGGCCTGGAGGTCGTCCACCGGTAGCGATGGGGTATGGTAATGGACCAGGACAAGGTGGACCGCCGCCTATGGGTATGCCAGGCATGCCCCCACAATTCCCTCATCCACCCCCGTACGGACGTGGCGGAGGTCCACCACCTGGCGGCGTCTACGGTGGCGCCCCGTCCCATCCCCCTCTTGGAGTACAGTTTCCTCAGAACCTGCCGCGCCCTCCATACCCGTCTCATCATCAAGGTAGCCGACCTCCAATGAGGAACGATCGTCAACGGGAATCAAGGAATAATGACCCGGCACCTCCCCCAAGGACGTCGAGCTTGCCTCCGAACCCCAACCTGCCGCCTCGACCTGCTGCTCCTCTTGGGAGTGCAGCACGGGATGGCGAGCGTGACAGGGAACGGGATTATCGAGGAGCTGGGAGGAACGACCCTCCTGGCCCTGGCGAGCCTCCAGTTGGCGCTCTGAACTATGGATAACATTTTTGGATAGCCATTCTGGCTTCTAGATTCTTCTTTGGGCTGGCCTCAGATTTTAGAGGTTCTTTTTTCTAACCAGAATTGCTTTTTTTAAGTTTACAGCAACAGCATACATACGTAACGTCGTCATTTTTGTGTAACTAGCATGTAGAAACTCATACATAATCGCATTGTTATGGTATTTTGCCTTCTGAGGTATCAGATGAATTCCTTGTCGCGACGCGTGCTCAATGGCAGGCTTCGCGTCCTGACCTGGACCATATTGACGGCAACGCGTTTTCTAGTAATCTCTCGCATCTGCAGTCTGCTTGTGCACATTCTTCAGCACATCTGCTCGTTATCATGACTGATATACCTCCTGGCGTTTCCGGAACCAACCTCCAGTTTTTTGCAAGCGGTGGAGACGAAAGCGTATGGTTGCCATACACCAACATCAAGTATTACACCAACGCGTTCATCGTGAAAGATAACAGGGTAGGTCTCTGTTTCAAGCTCTCCGAATGTTTTAAAGAGCATATTTTCCCACTTTTCCAGGTACTGCTAGGGTACAAGAAGCGCGGCTTCGGACTCGGAAAGTATGTATGTCTGCTGGCAGTGGCGACATGCTTATTTCAACTTCTAGGTATAATGGCTTCGGTGGAAAGGTCGAACCAGGGGAGACACCCCTGCAAGCAGCTATTCGTGAGCTTGAGGAGGAAGCAGGTGTGAAAGCACCTCTCGAACATGCTGGCTGCTTGTTCTTCCTCAGCGAAGGGGCGGAATGGGCATTCCAGATAGAGATATATCGAGCAGACAACTACGAAGGCATTGTTACTGAGTACGTACTAGGATTATCTTCGTTCAATGTTCCGTGCCCATTTCATCTTTCCAGGTCTGACGAGATGCGACCCGAGTGGTTCTCCCTCCCCGATCCAATTTCGAAAGACGGACCAATCAACCCAATTCCCTTTTCCAAAATGTGGGAGACAGACGAAATCTGGCTTCCTCTCTTATTTGAGAAGAGAAAATTCTTCGGCCGAGCAGATTTCACGAAAGCCGGAGACGTGCTCGTGCCGCATCGATGGTGGTACGGCGTCGAGCAAAATGAGTCATAGTTAGGTCCCAAACTCTTGTTACTCGCAGTTGGCCCGGAATTCAATTTTTATCCCTTCTCATCCATGGCCTCAGCATACAGCGTAAAGCAAATCGACGACTACCTCAAATACATCGGCATTGACCATAAATACCATCGGAAAGCCAACCCCTCGAAGGACTTAGCTTTTCTTTCTGCCCTTCATGCTCTCCAGATCACCACTATTCCCTACGAGAACCTAATTCTCCATTACTCGCTAGAGCATAAAGTCTCTCTGGACCCTCAGACGATCTACAAGAAGTTCACTACCAATGGACGCGGTGGCTACTGCATGGAGAATAGCATCTTCTTCAATCACATTCTGCGCGGTCTTGGCTTCAATGCTTACACGGCTGGGGTCAGGATTAGGCCTCGGATTGAGGGCGTGCCGCAGGGCGATTATATCGGATGGTAATTGCCCTCGAGTAACCTCTCGATCCCGTTGTACGCGTTTCGCTTCGAGCTGACCCCGAGGTCTTGTACAGGGTTCATGTCGTCAACATCGTTACTCTTGAAGACGGCAGCAAGTACATGGTCGACGTAGGGTTCGGCGGAGACGGAGCGACCAAACCCCTCCCTCTAACACCAGGCATTGCCGTTCTCAACATCGGTACCCAGGAAATCCGCCTCGTCCACGAGCCTCTCCCTACTCAGGCCCTCACGTCACAGAAATTCTGGATATATCAGTACCGTAACTCGCCGACTAAGCCTTGGAACTCCTTCTATGCGTTCCCGGAGCTTGAATTCCTTCATGCCGACTTCGAGATCATGAACTATTATACCGGTACAAATCCAGAAAGCTTTCAGACGTTTACAGTGCTGGTGGTCAAGTTCTTGAGGGATGAAGAGAGGGGTGTTTATGGCAAGGTTATGCTGGTTAATGGAGAGGTGAAGAGGAATTTAGGCGGGAGGACAGAAGTCGTGAAGATCTGCAAGACGGAGGAGGAGAGGATTGAGGCCTTGGAGGAGTGGTTTGGAATTACATTGAGAGCGGAGGAGATGGACGGGATCAAGGGGATGTCGACGGAGCTGTCGGCGAGGAAAGTTGGCTGAGAGACCTCTGCTGAACCTTGGCATTGTCGTCGCCTATTTTTCTGTGGCACAACCCCTCAGATACTGTTTACGTTCTCGTACCTCTGTATGACACTCCCAATTAAGAATGTCCTGCTACCCCAGAAGGTTGCAAGACTGCTTTGATATTGGGCGATTCAAAATCCCATAACCCAAGGCACCGCAGAGCGTGAAGCCGATGCCTCCAATGAAATTCCACACTGTCAGAAATTCTTAAGTAGCTCAGCTGGATTCTGGGTAATCGAGAGATAGTGATAAGATGTTGGACTTAAGGGGACTCCCTACCTCCTACTTGCTGCATCCTACGGAAGTAAGACGCTTGCCCTCTGCAATGGAAGGGAAAAGGAAGGTGGCAGCCTGAAGTGAAGCATAAGTCAAATAAAATACATTTGCTCAAAATCCATACTCTTCAACCTGCCGGAAGTGGCGAAGGTGAGCGGCGTAAGAAAATGAATCGCAAGTAAATCAGGAAGGCTTTAGCTTCAGTAAGCATCATTACCTAGCTATCCGTTATATGTTTCAATCCCCCATCCCCGTGCTTCGCACGGGCAAAACTCTAGTACACCATTAAACAGGCGAATTTTATCCTCTATCGCGGACAGGATTTGTAGTGAATCTATTATAATTACATTTACAATCAAGCCCGTTCCACCGTATCATAGAGGAAGTACGCACCCGCTAATCCAGAAAATAGTTGCAGCGATAAGTTGGAAGAAAGCGGCAAGGGTCCATCTCACGCCTATGACGGTCCGTTCTGGACCAAAATACACGATTGAAGTTTTTTTTCTGATAACCCTACAGTCATCCACCGGCCAATGAGACACCACCGGCTAATGATACACCTTGGAACACCATGAAGGACTCAACTGTTTGCTTTGAAAAAATAACCCCATTCTCTATAAGTCTTTCATACACTGTGTATAAAATTTTATGGGTTTTGGTGAAGTCAATGCCCAGTAATAAAATCACCAAAATATTCATTTTGGTTGATTTTGTCACACCAGTCACTGGTACAGCATCTCTGGCTGTTTCTGCTCACGTTTGGTTGATTTTATGGCATACAGCTGGTATAAATTTATTTTAATGGCTCTATTACACTGATTCCAAGTGGTTTTATGAGAATCCATGGGCTGGTTGAGTTCTGGGATCAAATTTAAATTTCAGTGTATCAAATGATGGTGGATGACTGTAATTTAGGCCGGAGCCTGACCAAATCTGACCAAATCTGCTAGTTTCGTCCCCGAGACCGACGCTATCCTCCCGGATCCGCCATCTTCGCACCGTCTCTGCTCGATTCGGCCAGATCGAACCTCCCTTTTTTTGATGACCCATCGTTCCGATACGGGAGGAATCTGGCCGCGCGGGACGATTCGGGACGATTCGTACGGATTCCTCCTCAATTCTTTTTTTAAGAAACATCTAGTGATTTTTTCCCCCTCGTGTGTGGTCAGATTCGTCCCGAATCCGACCGTTTGGGACCTTGCGATCTAAAAAAAAACTATGGTTTTGGTCGGAATCGGTCGGAATCGGTCGGAATCAGGGCGATGTGTTGCAGATCGGGAGGGGTTTTGGTTTTTTTTTTGGGTGGCAAACGAAGCGGGTCTAATCGGTTTGGACAGATTCCGCCTAAATCTGACAGATTGGAGAGGGACTTATGAGGAAAAAACGTAAATCTGTATTTTTGTCCAGTATGGCGCTGCATACAGCCAGAGTATTTTGGATTCGCGATTACCTCGGGGTGCCAGTGGAGATTCTGGGATATTCCCCAGCCAAGGCTTGCCCAATCATCCTGATTCCAGGCCTCAGGTGATGTCAGGGGCTTCTTCTACACTACATAACGCACTTCCACTCGTCCAGGAGACCCGATCTCCCTCCGCCACCAACTCAACGGTGAGTGAGTCTACTTGTGTGGTGTCGCTGCAACACTGACGGACGCTGTGCAGCTCACAGCAGCCCAGCGACACATCGTTAACTCCTGTGCCCAGGGCCCCGGGACATACGAAATCCTCTCCTCCCTTGGCTCGCGGGTATTCGTCAAGCGTGGAAACGCGAGCCTGGAGAGCGAGGCGCGCACCCAGGCACACCTCTACGCATAGGCTCAGTCCCCTGCATTCGCCCTCCGCCTGCCCAAAGTGCACGACGTCTTCAGCGATGGAGCCGGCAGCACATATCTAGTCATGGATTATGGCCTATTACATAATGAAGCATGAGTGCAGGGTTAGGGTGCGGTCTATGCATCAGTGGTGGCAGGCTGGGTGGAGTTTCACGCTCTCACCGTGACTGTCATCCACCGCAAGTCGCTAGAGCTCGTCAGAGCGGCTTGCCTTTCTTTTCTTTATAAACCTGTCTACTACCCACTATACCAAAACTTCCATCTACACTCATCCTCGTTTCAACAACACAACTGTCAACCAGCATGCCACGAATCACCCAAGACCCAAACCTGGCAGAGTCACCAGACTTCGACAGCGTCGAGTTCCAGGCCGTCTACGCACCCTTGGCCACAGAGGCAAACCCTGTCGAGAACATCATAGGCACGCTCAAGGCCGCCTGGACACGCGACAACGACACAAAAAAGGCAGCCTGGGAGGCCCAAGTCGAGCAAGACAAGGCAGCAGAAGAAGCGACCGAACAAGAGCGCCAGGCAGCAGTAGAGGCGGAGGAGGCTATGAAGGAGAAGGAACTTCAAGAGACAGAAGAGGCGAACCAACGCGAAAAGGAGAAGAGGAAGCCCAAGGTCCGGAACTTCACAGTCAACAAAGTCGTCGACAGTGTCTCCGACACCCGCCCATCTCCGTACGCCATCCACAAGCTCCGCCAAGGCGAGTACATCGAGCTCTACTACTTCACACCAGAAGCGTGCTCTGAAGCAGAAAGAGCGGAACAAACTGCAGCTAAGGACAACATCACCTTCACGTCGGTTGGGGACCAGCTCTTCATGAAGCCGGCAGCCGCATACAAGGCGGCGAAGAAGGTCATCCGGGATGAAGACCTAACCTTTAAACAGTTAATGCTCGCCAAGAACGACATGCTTCACCACATGGGCCAGGAGGAATGGCCGGAGCAGCACGTCGTAGCCCTCAGCGTATTCTTCTTCAAGCTGGAGAGCCATCACCTGCAAAAGCAAGACGGAGGTGACACCGTTGTGCTGCGCTACCAGTCGCAGGTCCGTCACGAGTGGATGGAGGCCCTCAAAGGTACCAGCGACGAGGACGTCTTTGACATCAGCGTCATCAACGACCTATGGCTTAACCAGATGTACACTGAGCACCTCAACGCTCGACATAGCCAAGGCGTTTCAGGAAAACGACTT